CGCGGGGAGGGCTGCTTGAATTGAAAAAGGCGCGGGGGGAGCGGCGGAGGGAGGCGGGCAAGGGCGAGGCAGCGGTCAGAGAAATGAGAACGCCCATGGTAATGGAACCAGCGAAGGCGGAACACCGCCGACAACAGATGGAGGCGGTGCACCGCCAGGCAAACCTTCCAAGAAATACGAAGAACCGCCTGAGCAGCGCAAGGACAAGCAATGCCCGATAAGATTACGATCCGATTTCGATCCGAGTTCCTTGTTTTCTGAACGCAGGCTGCGCGCCCCACGCGCCGCCCGCGGCAAATCCGACTGAGAGTCATGCATCGCGCCACCGAAGCAGGTCGCCTCAGAACTCGCTCTTGCGAGCCTCCAGCTCGCCCTGCACCAGCGCCTTGGCCCAGGCGATGGCGGCCTCCTGAGTGGCAGATGAAAACCGTCATAAACGCAAAGTGGCCCGCGGGGTCTCTTTGCGCATATGATTGGAGCGAGGCCACGCGCGGCCGCAACAACGCGCTCCGCCGCCGCGCATCGAGCCCCGTGGCCACGCCGATTGGAGGAGATGGGACCCACAAGTGTCCTTCTCCTTGCCGTTCCTGTACTTCTTGCTCTTGGTGCCGCCTGGCCCGCTGCGCCCGCTCCTGAAGAGAATCTGGCTGCGAGTGGTCTCGTCGTCATACCGCGGTGCTTTCAGCTTGCATGCTGCCGCCTTCGCCTTCGCAATCTTCTTCGGTGTTGCCTCGGCTTTTGCTTTTGCCTTTGCCTTCGCCGCCGATGGCTTCGCCGTGCCATCTGAAGCCTTTGTCTTCGCCAAGGCCGCCACTGCGTCGGACTTCCTCCGCTTCTTCTCGCCCTTCTCCGCTTTCCAGCCAGAGGAAGTACGTTGCCCCGCCGCTTGGAGGAGAACCAGGGCAGCGTCGGCAGGCAGCTTCGCCAGCGGCAGTTTCGGATCCACCTTGACAGCGGCAAGTGGCAATAACCAATCGCCGCGCCTGCGACGCCCCGCAGAGGGCGCGCCGCTGCCTTGGGCAGAGGCGCGCCCCCGTGAATCGCGCAGGCCGCGGAGGCGGGTCCAGGTTACCGTCCAAAAACCTTTGCCTTCTTCTGCGGCGCCCCCTTCGCGTCCACCTCGGACTCGCTCGAGCTCAGCACCATGACGTCAACGGCCGATGCCTTGACCTTGGCGCCACCACCCACCTTTGAGGCCGCGGCCGCAGGCGCCGCTCCCGACATCGCGGCAGGCTTGCCCGCGGGAGCTGCTGGAGTGGGAGTCGTCGGCCCGCGCTGCGAGACGAGGGCGGCCGCCGCTGGGTTCGGCCACCCGCCGCGGGTGTTGTGCGTTGGGACCACCCCCAACGGCAACGCCGCTGGCGTCGCGGCTCCCAAGGGAGGCGTCGCGGCAATCGTCGCGGCTGCAACCGCAACGCTTTGCATCGGAGAAGGCGGCGGCAGAGGCGCGAAGGCGATCGGCGGCAACGCCGCCCGCCGCGGCGTTGCCTGGGCGCCGAGCGCTGCGTTCCTGTTGCCGCGCAAGCTGATGAGCTTCCCGAGGACCTGCGTCTCGAGAAGCCCAATTGTCGGCTGCACGGGCCCCTCCGAGGCGAACGCCTGCTCGCACAGCGTCGGCCTCTCCTGCTGGAACAGCGACGCCGAGGGGGAGAGCGCGCCGACAAACTCGGTTGCCTTGCCTCGAGCAGCTGTGTAGGCAGGGGAACGCCACGTGGTCTTCACCAACTGCAAGTACACGTCCAAGAGCTGCGGAGTCGGCGAATTCTTCTCGACGCCTGATCGCTGGCACGCCAGGAACATGAACGCGGCTAGCATGCCAAACGTCGGCTCGGAAGGGTTCCGGAGCCCGAGGCGCTCCAAGTGGCGCATCAACATGACAAATTTCGAAGCGAACGACTCGGTTGGGCTCAGCAGCACGTGCCACGTGGAGGCAGTCAGCAACTCCACGAAGCACTCGTAACTTTGCCCTTTGGCCTTCGTGCGCCTCCCGCAGAGCCACTCGGTCGCGGCGCCGACCAAATCGTGACTGAACCCCGTCTGCCCGAGCTGGGTCAGCAGCTGCCCTTTCTCCGTGGCCGTCCACCTGCAAAACGACGGGGGGGTGTTAGACGGCGGGGAGGAGGGGGGAGCGGGCGGCGTTCCGCCGAACGGAGGCGGGGACCTCCTCGAAGGGGGAGCGGATGGCCTCTCGCCCGTGCGGGATCTTTGACCCGAGCCTCACCTCTGGCCTTCGATGAGCGCGCGCACCTTCCCGAAGTGCAGCTGCTCTGCAGCGCCCCTGGAAGGCCCGCTCGCCGCTGCAAGCGCCGCGGCTGCCTCGCCCAGGGCAGCCTGGACGCGCTCCATCGCGCCGCGGCGCGTCGGGGGGCGCCCGCCCCGCGGCCCCTTCCAGAAGCGCTCGGTGGGACAGGGGCAGCGTATTGTGGCGAAGGGAAATGGCATGGCCCTTCACGTCTTCCTTCTGCTATCCTCTCCTCCCCCCTCTCCCCTCCTCCCCCCTCCTGGGCGGTGCGCCGCCAATGCGACCAATCAAACGGTATATGGTGAAACGTGCGCCGAAGGCGGTGCACCGCCAACGAATGCAGAAACACCTCGCGCAATCAAGGTGACGTGGGCGGTGGGCCGCCAAATGCGATGACAACCTCGGGCGAAGCATGCGCCGCGGGCGGTGCACCGCCAACGCGAAAGAAACGCATCGCGCAATCACGGGGACGTGGGCGGTGCACCGCCAAATTCGATGACGAATTCGGATGAAACGTGCTGCGTGGGCGGTGCCCCGCCGATGCGTGAAGAAACGATTCGCGCAATCAAGGGAACGTGGGCGGTGCACCGCCAACGCGACGAAACTTCAATCAACATGTGCAAAACGTACAAATTGCAATACGCGGGCAAAACATAGCGATGGGCGGTGCGCCGCCAATGCGATAAAACTGCACAGAATTTGCAAGACGTGGGCGGTGGGCCGCCGAAACGAATCACATCAGAACGCGCCGCGATGAGAAGTGCGGGCGGTGTGCCGCCAATGCGCATGGCATCCCCTCCCGATCCCCCCCCCGCCATTCCCGCCCCCTCTCTCCTACCCCCAGGCTGCGCGGGTTGAGCTCGGTGATGAACGGCCTTCTCGGTCGCCTGGCGCCTGGCGAAACACTGTGCTGAAGAAAACCTGCGCGATTTTCGGTGTCCGACCCCCTTTTCAAAAAGCAGACGAAAAAGCAGACTTATCGGACTTAAACTTATCTTATTTATAAGTATAACTACAAGTAACTTATAAGTATGGCAATTGGGTGCACACAAGTAACATATGTTCTACATGTGATTTAAGTATATATGTTAATGAATTCAGTTAGATGTGGATGGTAGTTGCAGGATCTTAACATATCTCACTACAAGTGATTTCAAGTTACTTACAAGTAACTTCATCTATAATTGAAGTAACTTATAAGTGACTTCATCTGACATAGATCTCATATGTCAACGCCATCACCAAAGCGGGTGCCAGGGCCTTGCCCGGGTGCCCGGATGCCTGGATGCCCGGGTGCTCGGCTGCCCGGGCGATGTCTGTGCCTGAGGCCCGGCCTCGCTCGGGTGCCAGCGGGGTGTCCGGATGCCCGGATGCCCGGGTGCCCGGATGCCCGGGCCCGGGGTGCCCGGGCCTCGCCCGGGCGCCCAGATGCCCCGATGCCCGGGTGCCCGGCTGCCCGTGCCGGCCCGGCCCCGCTCGGGTGCCCGTGTGCCTGGATGCCCGGATGCCCGGGTGCCCGGATGCCCGGGTATCTTGGTGCCCGGGCGTTGACCAGGTGCCCATGTGCCCGGATGCCCGGGTGCCCGGCTGCCCGGGCGGTGCTTGTGCGTGAGGCCTGGCC